GTACCCACTGTATATATATATATATATATATATATATATATACATTTTTGTGGCATACTCACAAATCCAAGCAGCAAGTAAAGATTGATGGGGTGCTGGTGACGGTACACAGCCAAGGCAAGGAGCAGGATAAGGGACCCGATAGCAGATATCAAAACCAGCGAGGGACTGAAAAATTAACACAGTGCATCACATTAATATATTGACATAGATTAACGTGCAGTTTGTACCATTTAACAGCCACAATGATGTGGTGAACCTACAGCGGAGGATGTGCTCTTACCTTTCGTGCACAAAGTTTTTAATGGGGTTACAGAGCATGAAAAGGGCAGATACAGCAGTGGTGACGATAATCTGCAGTGACAGGATGGTGTAGACCTTGCGGAGGAAATCTAAAGAGAAATAACACTTGAGCATAAACTCTTCAATCATACATATATTACATTTAATAAAATGAAACACAAGATGTTTGGTTTGTTGTTTGGCTTCACTGGGTTTATTTACATTCTCAAACAATATGTCTACCATTTACACTAAACCTCACACTAATAGTTACATTTGAAAAAATCAATAATGAGCCTTATGACAGACTGGTAGGCTATACAATAGGTGTCTTGAGGAGCTTCATCTCAACTAATGGCAGAAATTAAGCTAAATCTAAGGAGTTTGCTCTTAATGCCCAATTAGAAGAATAGCACACATACTCCATTAAATCTGAACATTGCAAATAACTGCAATGCAAAGAAATTAATGAGCTTCATGGCAGACTGACTCATGACAGCTGATTTCACATTTGCGCCATATGTCTCCTGTTTACCTGGACCTCATAAAGAAACAAGGTGAAATAAATAATTGAAATGAAACAGGGTTCCCACTCCAGCTGTTTTACATGTTATTCATTTCCACGCAGTGTTGTTATGTAGACTGTATTACTGATTACGTAGACACAAAAGGCCTTTAAATACATGTAAATTGCGACTCACCCATCCGGATATGGACGCTCGCCGTCGCGACGTTCGTGCCATAATTAAAATCATCCTCAATGGATGATCGCGGATACTTCTCCTGATTCATGTTTGATCGAATTAAACGCGTATCATTTACTCACAAATACAAAAGTGATAATACGACCCTCTCTACCGTCTTTCTGTGGTTTTCTTTTTCATTTCGTACTTCAAATACGTGCTTACTGCCACCTAGCGGATCATAGAAACAACTAACAGTGAGATTAGTATGCATTTATTATGCGTGTTAGTTTCTAATGCTGTCTAGTGTGGATAGTGAGATATCCTCAAATACACTTTACAGTAAGTAATATTATACTTAAGTTGTCATTGCGTTACATGACTGCTAAACAAAACTTATAAAAAAAACAAAACGTTTAATTGACTGCCAAATGTCCATGTAATACTAAATTATTAAAGATAATAATATAAAACCTGTAGCTAAATAATGTAGCTGTATAATTGATTTTGGTCATATAAATTATTCATTTATCCAAAAGTAAATCTACTTCCACCCTAAAGTATCAAGGAAGCTAGCGTTTGATGCTCGATTGAATCGGTTCTATTTCATGAATCATTAGCCGGTTAGTAACGGTGTGAATGATTCGCGATTCAGTCAGAATCGTTTAGACAGTTCATATAGGCATTTAATTACTTGAAGCGCTAAAACTATAAGGCGAAACGAATACAAAGTACAAAAACAGTAGATAAAGTAGAAATATTTACTTATCCGTTGAAAAGAAGCCCGAACGTGTCCTACCGTTTGTCAGTGATAAAGAAGAAAATGATTAAGAGATTAAGAAACTCAGGTAAAGGCATTTTCCAAACAAATAACCGAAACACGAAAAAGTACTTAATACCAAAAATTACCACAATGTCATATGATACATGAATATATTCAAGACCTATATCATCATGTTTATCATTACCGTGTTTGTTTTTACATTAGCCTGTTACAGAGGTGGGACCAAGTCATTGTTTTGCAAGTCACAAGTAAGTCTCAAGTCTTTGCATTCAAGTCTCGAGTCAAGTCCCGAGTCAAGACAGGCAAGTCCAAATCGAGTTGCAAGTCCTCAGCTGTAAGATTCAAGTCTTAAACAAGTCATTAGTGCTTTTTGCCCAAATTAGTGTCTCAGTATTAATTACCATATCAAATTCATAGTAATTTATATCAGGAAGGCAGGTAGAATATGTTTGACATAGTTCAATTTCATGTGAGATGGGTGCCCTTAGTAAAACTACTCAAGTTCAGTTTAGGGATTGTGCCAAAATAGGATAAACAGTGAAAAAACAATTTTATTAGTAACAGAATAGCAAAGACAACATAATTTCATAGAAATAACAGCTGCAACATACTTTGCATGTGTGGAATAACACAGTAATAACAGATATAACAAAGAAATAACAGTAATAACACAGTAATAACACAGGAATAACACAGTAATAACACAGGAATAACACAGTAATAACA